CGATGTTAGTTGTGCTTTACGCCCATTTCAAACTTGCGCTTTCTCCAGTCACTTCTCGCCCCGACCCCTTGGCTGCGGCTCCGCGATCCTCCATTAACATGCTAATCTCTCAACATGCTGATTTTCACCTGGCAGCCCCTTGAAAGGTGGAAAACGAACCACCACCGGGCTCGCTGCCAAACACTTACATTATAATTGGCTGCTGACATTTGGGCTACGCCCAATTCAAACCCTTATAAACGCACTCTTTGGTTCTTTCGGTAAAGTCACGTAGATAGAAAAATAACTAATAGATCACGACGTTTCGATCGCAACACAAGCAATCGTCTTCAGGTGAAACAATACAGCAGGCCGACTGCTGAGGCAAGAAGAACTGTAGCGAGAGAGCTACTGCAACCAAAGGTGATATAGGTTTGTGGTGGGTACAACCCAAGGTGGTAAGTGGGCGGGGCTAGGGATGGAATTTGCAAGCAAGTGTAAGATCGCAGAGCTAGCACACCTTGGCCAATCCGAGGGGAGGGGGGGAGGGAGGGGAGGGGCTGCCGGAATGGGCGAGAGGGTGGGGGTGAAATTTACAGAGGGAACAAGGTGATATAGAAATAAAAAAATAAAGATCAAACTTAGCAAACTTAGAAATGTAATACAACTCAGAGAGTCGGCCAACACAACAGTCAACACTATACCTAGTTGATCAACGTCCTTCCAAAGACTGCTAAATTTTGCATCCATCTTCTCGTTTGAAGTCATGTCTGAGTTGTGTAGAAATCCTCCCCGTAGAGGTGGTTCAATCTTGATTTGCAGCTTTCGTGACTGCAGGAATTCATACTCTTTGGTTCTTTCGGTAAAGTCACGTAGATAAAAAAAAATAACTAATAGGTCACGACGGTTCCATCGCAACACGAGCAATTATCTTCAGGTGAAACAATACAGCAGGCGGACTGCTGAGGCAGGAAGAAATGTAGCGAGAGAGCTACTGCAACCAAAGGTCATAAACAGTTTCCCTTGGAAGCTAACCCCCCTTTTCCTGAAGACGACCGCTTGCGTTGCGATCGAAAAGTCGCAGTTTTCTGTTTTTTTGGATAATTTTCTTTGAAACTATCTACGTGACTTTACTGAAAGACCCAAGAATATGAATTGCTGCAGTCACGAAAGCTTTAAGTCAAGCCATCTTCGAGGTGACACGTTTCAATACAGAAAAAGCCACCAATTCAGAAGGGGGATGACAAAGTGAGTCTAACATCATGGATAGGTCCAATGGGCAGCGTGGTGACTTTATCAGGGGTCTTCTGAGCAGAACCTCTTGCATAAGATGATGAAATAAGTAAATGCTCACCAAAGCAACTCTTTTATCCCTCATCGAAAAACTGGCACGGCAGCAAGATGAGTATTGACATGGGGTTCCACGAAACCCTTCTGAATCCAGTAAAAAATGTAGGGCTCATGGAACCAGCCATTTTCTATGCACAGCCCATTTACGCGGGCAGGAGCTGAATGCCTTCCAGTAGGGTTCGTATATTGGGCCCATGGCGAGTCTACATGCCACAACCAAGAACCTTGACACTCGGATAGTTTACGCCTCTCAAAATATGCTGCTCAAGTCACACATCATGCGAGGGGGCCGACAATGTGTTGAAAAACCAGGGATGGCCGTGTGCAAGAGAAGAAGTTTGTTGACCACAGGAGGATGAGACGACACCGGTCCTGGGTAGAGGGTGGATGGGAGAAGTCGAATGCAACAGTGATGGGAGTCTACCTCTAATGTTTATCTATTTCACACCGGCAGAGCTAACTCCTCCTGGGTGGTCAACCAAGGACAGTTGAGAATGGGGAGGGTTGGAGAGGGGCTGCTGCGCATTATTCTTGAGTGACGCTTCAGAAGGGGGCAGTGACAGGTGAAGGCAGAGGTGGTTGCCGTTTTGTGTCCACGAGTCACTGAACACTTGCCCCTGTGAAGCTGCACGTGATGGAAAATGAGGAAAGGTGTTGCAGATCCCCTACTGAATAGAGCAACCCGATTGCTCTGGCTTGCCCTTTCCATGAAAAGAAAGCTGTTCTTTCTCATTGGCAAATTTAGCTTGGACCATCTTAACCAGTGCCAGTCTCCACACTGAAAAGGCCATCATCACCTTTGAAATGGAACCCAGACAGCACGCTCATTATATTTGTTGAAACAGAGATGTCTCTGCCACCAAACCCTGTTTCACACAATCAAGCCAGACACTGCCCGGATGACCCATGGCATTCTGTAGATAGCTCACCGATTCGGTAGATAGATCCTGTAAATTATGAAAAGGGATGCTGAGATGTTCTCTGACAGCTATAACTTGTTGAGCAGAATTTGAAGAAACTTATCCAGGTAAGCGGTATTATATTGCCTTATGAATAGCCCCGGCAGACACCAATTGATATTCTTTGAGTTCCTTGTCAAACTGTCTATCCAGAGGGAAGACTCTTCCTGAACAGGATCTTGAGAGCCACAGCCAGCTCAACTTGGGAAACCATGTAGAACTTTGCCTCGTAATTTATGAGAATGCTGCTTTTGGCAAGGGAAGGAGAGCATTTAGCAAGTTTGGAAAAGACACTGGAGAGAGTTTCAGCCAATCCCCCGTGTATTTTAAAGACAATGCACCATTGTGGGAGGCTTTATTAAAACTACAAAGTGTTCTTGTCCCTAATAGAGGTTTTTTTGGGTTAGATCGTGTAAACCCACCACCACCCTACACAGCCAACTAGTAAGGTTTGTCACGTAAACAAAACATGCCACACTGGTGTGTTGGAGAGTAAACCCACAATATTTACAATTCGAGTATGAAGGTTCGCCGGTAATTACAACCAGCCTCATCAGGCCTTTGCTATGGCTGCTCATTCTCGAGAATCTTCGGAAGAGCCCCCCTAATTTCTAAGAAGGGTTTCAAAATATCTAGGCTTAGTTCCCAAGAGGTAATTTTAGTCAGTCTTCCTCTGGCACCTGCCAGCAGAAGACAGCCCTTGAAGCTCTTTTGTGGATCATGTCCTGGAGTGTTCGGGAGTAGACAAGGTTCAACCAGGGCTAGCTCAAACATGAGGGGGTCCGAGTCCCCCAGCTCATTCCCTCCCTCATCCTTGCTTTAGTCAAAGCTGCGATCTTCCTCATCGGGAGTTCGAGATAGTCCAAGATCAACGAGGATTTCTCTCCATGGCTATGTCCAACAGGACACGAGGCAGCCGGTTCAGGGCCCCTGGTTAGAGGTCTGAGGAATGAGTCGAGCCCTTCGAGCTCTAAAAGGGTTGTTGCTCTATTCTGCTTATGAGACTTGCTGCAGGCCTACCTTCGGGGGTTGTGATGACAGAGGTGTGATATATGTTTGGGTCCTGAGGCATTTTTGGCATCAACTAGGATGCAGACCCCTCATATGCAACCCCCTCGTGGTCTGTCTTAACTTTCCCGAGAGCGGTATCCCCTCACTGTGGGGGGTGGGGGGGTGCACAAGAACCCCAGGGATCCCTGTTTGCACCAAGACAGGCTTTCCACCACGATTCAGGGGGTTATGGGAAGACTCCATGAAATGGTCACCTGTAGTCGTTTCCACTTTCTACCTGCCTGGCTTTGATGGCCAGACTGGAAGCAGGCAGCAAGCACTACTGCCGATTTAAACATTAATCCGGCTCAAAGGAAGTCCAGTACTGATTGTGTGGATCTCTGAGAAACATCCGTAGGCTGCAATTCTACACACACTCAGCAACAGGGTGATTTCCTAACATTTTGACCAACGTGGAGGTGGGAAATGTCAGATTGGATTGACGAAATTAAGTTCCAGCGTTATCGCTGCTTGGAATAAAACAAACATCTCGTTGCACTGTACAGCAACCTGCAAAATATAATAAATAAAATAAATCAACAACGCGTGAAACGTGCTCTGGTTACTGTCATCATCCAACAAAACCAAGTACACATGCGTGACAGTGGCGGTCATGGGACCGCGGTCACAGGCTTTGGTTCATGGGTCCTTGTGCGATCCGTCACATCTGCCCCGTTGCACCGGACAGTCAAGCGATATGCAGTCTCGAGTCGGTGATAGCATGAGCCTGTGGGACTCCGAGCCATCCTCTCCCCTCATGGCTGGGGTTAAGTTAATGAAGTTGCGTTTGAACTTTATCATCTGCCTGCTGAGTGAGACAGCAGAAATTAGTATGGTGGTATCTGTAATGTAGTGTAACTACTCATTATAAAAACAATTTACTATCTGCCAAAAACAGGGCTGTGGTGGGCACAGTATAATAGTAAATTTTACAATAAATAATTTGTATAAGTTCGTCTTATTTTAATAACTTGTGCTCTATGAAACGAACACATGCAAATTTCTCCCATATAGCCATACAAACTGTTAGGGCAAAGGCAGTTAATCAGCTTTTATTAAGACTGCCATGGCTTCAATTAAGACTGAGTGTGGCTAACACAATGCCTGGTCACCTTCACCTCTCCAATGTGTATGTTAATACACCACAAGATGCTTTTTGTCTTTAGTTTTTTGTCCTTCCCCCGCACCTCCGATGAACACGGTTGGCTACGTATGGTGCGAAACAAGTTCGAAAAAATACATACAAAGCACTAACCACCCGTTCCACCACCACGCCAAAATGAAATGCGTGCGCTCACTCTCCAGGAATTATATATATACACGTCTTTTCTTTCCCGACATTAATGCAAAATATAAATGTGAACACAATTTGTAAATTTCACATACAAATCTCTACCATTGTGATGAATCAATTATAGGGTGCTTAAAACAAATGTGAACACCTCTGAGAATTTGCAACAATACAACAAAAAATGAGCCTCCGGGCTCTGGAGAACACCAGGAAAAGATTCCAGGCCACGTGTTGACAATGATGGCGAACAAGTGGAGGCATTTTTTTTTTATCATGTTACAGTGTATTATTCGTTCTTTTTCCATTAAAAACGATAGTCCCATGTAAGTGTTGCCATTTTTTTGAAGCACCCTGTATTAAGCATTCCTCACCTCTTTTGTGAACAAAGCCTCCAGCTCTTGCTCATCCAAAAAGGTATCACCATTGGAATCTGTTGGGAGAAATTAAACAGATCAGAAATAACAACAATTTGCGAAATCTCTTACTTTATCCTACAAAAAAAATGTTGCTTGATTACATCAAATCGGATTATGTAATTCAGAGGAGCATGCGAACGGATTACTCAAGTTAGTGCTGTGAGAATACGCCAACGGTCGCTGTGGAATCACTTTTATAATGCCAACCTGCTCTCTTCAAAGGATAAAATTATTTGAATAATAATTAAATAACAGTAACTGTGAACACATTGATTTTCACAGCTAAATTGCGATGAATACAGCAGAGTACTTAAAAAATACACCTTAAGGTGTGAAAAGTAAAGAACAGGTTTCCCATTACACTAACAGTGCTATTTTACAATCTAGCTGTGCCGAATTTTATAGAAGCAGAACCAAAAAGCAAAAAATAATAATAAAAAAGGTGAATTTAGATTTAAGAACGTCTTTTGATGTTGACTCTGCCATCAGCTATGCCCATCAAAATTACTGCACACGTAAACTGTTTCAAAAGTCAAAGCTGTGGGAGGCGGGGGGGCAGAGTTTGGTTGGGAAGAGAGATGGAAGAACGTTCATGACTCATTTGTCACACCAAGGGCTCCAACCCAAGACTTCCGACATGGTGCATTAGAACTTGCAATCACACAGCATCTCTAGCATTGTTTTATTAATTAATAAATTGCAGTAATCCATAAACACATTCCTGCGGAGGGAGCTGGTAGGAACGTTGGGTTGCTCGGTCAATGGCCAGGGTCAACGGCGGCACCACGTGGTGTATTCCGCAAATATGCCCGACTGAGGGCGGGCACAAGCCGGAGTGAGTAGGTTAAACGTTGCGTTTTATAAGGGCACCACGGGGTGACCAGCCCCTCCCCACCCAGCCCCACCCCTGCCACCCCCCACCCAGCTCCACCCTCCCTCCCCACCCTCCCCTCCCCACCCAGCCCCACCCTCCCCACCCAGCCCCTCCCCACCCTCCCCTCCCCACCCAGCCCCTCTCTCCCCACCCAGCCACCTCGGCCGGCTGGACAATCTAGACGAGGCCGGAGGCTCTGCACGGGACGAGGCCTCACCACACCACTCTGTCAGGTGAGTACGTTGTGCTATAGAGTCGATAAATACTGCTATAGGGTCAGCATGTATTACTGTAGTGATAGCAGGTATCACCATAGTCGGTATGCACTGCTGTAATCATAGCAGGTACCACCACAGTCAGTATGCACTGCTGTAGTGAAATTAGGTACCACCACAGTATGCACTGCTGTAATCATAGCAGGTATCACCACAGTATGCAGTGCTGTAATCATAGCAGGTACCACCACAGTATGCACTGCTGTAATCATAGCAGGTACCACCACAGTATGCACTGCTGTAATCATAGCAGGTACCACCACAGTCAGTACGCACTACTGTTACATGTTTAAGAGTAGTTTTGAAATATTTTTAAGACCCGTGCAACACCGGGTTACTTCCCGCTAGTCTTCTATAAAGGTTCCTCTATCGTGATTATGTAAACCTGCATTCTCATTTAACTGAGGGTACGAGGCCCTTGACAAAAAAAACAGACACCTGCTTTCTGGCTCATTTCTTTTGCCAGATAGTAAGATGGAATGTTATCATCATCAGATATATGCAAACCTAACATTTGCGCGAACATTATATTATGTGGTGCGGCGGAAGACGATTCAGGTTAACGAAGGAAATTTTAAAATAATTATATCTATCCTGATGCATCTGGGAAGAATATTAAAATGTGTTTCTCTCATTCCCACGTCATATTTATTTGAGATTCAGAGATACTAGAAAGCTGGCTGTAACAGCCCTCTTTAACACTCTGTTTACACTTAAGATCAATGTTTCAGTCTTTTTCAAAATAATTTATTGGTAGGAATACTTTCAACTGTTTCAAACGGGTTTAATTATTTTGGTTTAGTCATGAAATGTAAAAAAGCGGTTAACTTTCTCTCTGGCCCTCTATATATGTTTATACACATACACATTCATATAACCACATGTTCATGTCAACGTCTGAAGATTTGAAAAGCGAATGTGTTGTGCAAATACTCAAATCTTTTATGCAAACATTTTTCAATGGGATTAATCTTAAACAAGCCATCAACAAGGTTGCCTTGCAGACAAGGTCTATTGGCCTCTAGACAAGATAAATGAATACCTTGTGATCCTAGCCCTAATAGCCAACATGCCACAAGCAATCATTCAACTGTCAAAGAAAAAATGTCTAGCCCCATGGCATACCGACCTTTCCAAAGCAGTCAGAGCCACCTCTTGTCACTTTGATGAAAGAAAAAAAACTTCACCCTGGATACTGAAATGTCAGCTTCATGTAAAAAAGGAAACTGACATATGTTTAATGAACTTAACAAATGTTAACCTTTAAGTCATGATTAATTAAATTGATTTGTATGAAACAAATTTAATTCTATATGCACAGAACTTATTCATATCAAGGCTGCGGAAAAAGGTTGTGTGTGCATCATGAAGGAGTTGAAACACTGTGTGATTCACAGATGGAAGAACAAGTTGATGGACACATCCTTGATTGGAGGAACCCACTGCTGAAAATGAATGAGCTCTCTTTTTTGTGCAACGAGTGCTCTCCATCATGTTAACGTGGCTTTTAATAAAAGACACGCAGAACAGACATTTCAGTAACGTGCACAACAGCATCAGCGGTGGCCTACTCGTAACCTTCTATCGAGAAATGCATTTCAGAAAGCAGCCGCACTTGAATGTCAAATACGAGAGAGCATTGCGGGCACTTACAGTACCACACATTTGAAAATGAAGAGTCTAAATTGTGAATGTTTCATGCAATGCACATTGTGCCCGTTTACAACAAGCAGATTGGCACCTGTTTATATTAATCTGCAGACTTGTGAAATGTAGACAACACACAAAGCACCTTGCAGTAGGTAGAAAAGAACTGAAATGGATATGAGTTTAGGCATTTACCTGTGCATTTATAAAATAAATAAAAAGATCGCTCAATCTGCGTGCATCATTACATATGTATGAGACACAGCAAAACACTTTTGGGTACTAAATAAATGTGCACATTAACATTTGTGGTTTATTTACTTATTGAGTAATCTTTAACATGAATGCAATGTGATATACAATTAGTACATACTCATAAGGTATTTGAAGTAACAATGTAGCTTAGTTCAGTATCTAATTTCAAAATTCCCTAACTGCTCATTATGCAGTTAGGGAATTGCTTAGTTTGTATAACAATTTATTCTTGATCCAAAAATGTATTATTCTATTGATTTTATAAAACTAGAGTAATGAAAACTTGATAAATAACAGTTGGAGGTACACAACTTCAAACACAGAATACAATATGTACACCGATAGTAATTATAGGTTGTGATAAAATTATGATCCTACTGTGCATTAACTTTACTCCCCCATAACGTTCACCGGATTATATTGTTTGTTGTTTGGAATTTCCATTGCGTTGCCTATAACACTTTGTCGACTAATCAAACCAAACCTTCCTGCAGCTGCTGACCTTTAACTGACAGGGCCTGCACAGCATCTTGAGGGTAGACGTGGGTACACTCAATAAGATTATGGCACTCAGTGATGGGCTGGAATCTTATCTCAAGGTCTGCATAAAAAAAATGCCCCCCGTCTTTACTTGCCCCCTTAACAGCCACTGTAATTATGCATGGCCTCTTATCCTTACCATATCACAGCTGTGTGCAGTTTCACTAAGATCATGACAACAAACAAGTTCGCGTAAATTTCAATTGTATGGCAACTCGTTAATTCTTAGGCCCTCTTGTCAAGGCTTAAATTACATCCCAGTGACTTGGGGAGTTGAAAAAAAACCCTTTTGAACTTCACGGAAACGTGATGACGAGTTTGTGGACATGTGGGACAGATTTAAGCGGGCATTCTTTTATTCTCACAACAGCCTTAAAAACCTGACAGCCACCTGCAATACAGAAACATCTAAGCCAAACTATTTGCCGGTAAATTGTAGGGTTTTATCTGGCTTAGACCCAACATAGCCATTAGGGAAAACGACATCTGGTATTACTCCTATTCGATCACTTTGGAAGGAGGCCGCAGTAGTGGACATTTTAAGATCGCAGGTCCCACAGAAACTGAGAGCTCAAAGTAACTTTCCACCGGCCTGCGTCCCGGTGATTTATAGGAAAAAGGTGTCCATAGGACACACTCCTGGTATTTAACATTAGGGCCCAGCACTGGATTTCACAACCTGCATGTGCAATCATTTCTATTTGGGTACCTTTGAACAAGAACCATGCGCAATTAGTGCACTAAAATTACACAGGCAAGATCATTGGAGAGTGACAAGCTGCGGCTTAAATTGTCAAATATAACAAGTACAAGTATTCGGTGCTTTATTACGATTATTCAATAAGACAATATTTAGAAAGTCTGCTTGCATTACTGCATTCAATTTGGCATGCTGCAGTGATGTGTATGGCTTGGGGTTTAGCGCTATAATTACCTATGAATGTCACAATGGGCAATGTTTATAACTTGCCCGTGGTATACATAATATGTAGGGAAACGAAATGCCTGATCTCAGAATTGCTAAATGACAGCTCCAGTTTATAACACGAAATGAAACGAATTTGTTCACGGTGAGAGTTGCATGAAGAATGTTATATCTACACAAAACATAATTCAAATAACAATCATAAATTAGTGGACTGGTACATTTGCGCCAGATTTCAAGTGGCAGATTTTGAAGCCAGTCGTTTCTTCGTTGAAATGCTCTGAAACATTGTTCCAGAATTTAGACAGGAACATTATCTATCAGTTTTAAAATATTACCGAAAGGGTCTCTGAATTTCACTTAAGGTAAGCCATAATGATAAACTGCATGGCGACAGAAGGTTATAATTTCCTTGGATGGGCCTCATTGAACACACAGATGTATTGCAGCAGGGTGTTTGTAAAGCCAGAGTCGTGCTGGCCTCATGGGCCATAAGTTGAAAACCCCCTATTGCTGTCATGGTCGTGTGGCTTTAGGCAAAGGGCTGTTATCACCCAGTAATGCCTGTATCTGAGCTGATAATGACCCTCTCATGGGTGGGCAGATAGGTGTCTCAAAGATAACCATTATTTGTGCACTTTCAGCAACAGACACAAGCTGCTCACTGGAGGATATATTAATAAACTGCTGGAGTATTAACATATAAATCCACTGTGCTTGAAGTGTGACTATTTGTTTGTGATAACATTTTTAATTAAATTAATGGCAGAGACATTTTTATAAAGACCGCTAAAACATTCCATTGTGTTTACTAAAATGGAAACATTTATTTTGCTTCTTTTTTTCTGTAAGTGCAGGCACTTAACATTATTGTTGACATATGGAAGTATTTTAGACCATGGGTGACAGCTATTGTTATGTTAAACACGTACAAAAATCATCTCACTGTAAACACAACAAAAAGGCATTATTTTTTATACCATGTTACTCACTGAACTACATCTATACTTTTAACTAGGTATATAAACATAACATTTTAAAACTGCCACTATAATAAGTCATCTATAATGAATTAAAAAAATACCTCCACATTATTTTCAAAAGATGGTTGTGCGCAACGCTGTAAAAAGGCCAGTTTCACTGTTTTCGTTTAGAGTTTTAAACAACCGTAATACCATTATGAGACCTCCTTTGCCAGAAACAAGATATAAGAATAGGTTTTACCCTTTTAACTGGCACAAAAACTGACACCTTTATTCAAGGCATCATGTTTGCAATAACCACAACACAAGCAGTCAAAATGCAAACAAAAAAAGACAACTCTGATAATAATATGCACTGTCCTTGAATTTGATTGGTCCACACCCGAGACAGCTTTTCTTAGAGCCTAGTCTCCATTGGTGTTGGACCAGAAGACGCCAAAAGGTGTACAACTCAAAAACAGCGCACTATCAGAGTATTGAGGGCTCGGGGTGAGCATTAACATTATGAGACCTCCTTTGCCAGAAACAAGATATAAGAATAGGTTTTACCCTTTTAACTGGCACAAAAAACTGACACCTTTATTCAAGGCATCATGCTTGCAATAACCACAACACAAGCAGTCAAAATGCAAACAAAAAAAGACAACTCTGATATTAATATGCACTGTCCTTGAATTTGATTGGTCCACACCCGAGCAGCTTTTCTTAGAGCCTAGTCTCCATTGGTGTTGGACCAGAAGACGCCAAAAGGCGTACAACTCAAAAACAGCGCACTATCAGAGTATTGAGGGCTCGGGGTGAGCATTTACATTATGAGACCTCCTTTGCCAGAAACAAGATATAAGAATAGGTTTTACCCTTTTAACTAGAGCCTTTTGGCATCTTCTGGTCCAACACCAATGGAGACTAGGCTCTAAGAAAAGCTGTCTCGGGTGTGGACCAATCAAATTCAAGGACAGTGCATATTATTATCAGAGTTGTCTTTTTTTGTTTGCATTTTGACTGCTTGTGTAGTGGTTATTGCAAACATGATGCCTTGAATAAAGGTGTCAGTTTTTGTGCCAGTTAAAAGGGTAAAACCTATTCTTATATCTTGTTTCTGGCAAAGGAGGTCTCATAATGTTAATGCTCACCCCGAGCCCTCAATACTCTGATAGTGCGCTGTTTTTGAGTTGTACGCCTTTTGGCGTCTTCTGGTCCAACACCAATGGAGACTAGGCTCTAAGAAAAGCTGTCTCGGGTGTGGACCAATCAAATTCAAGGACAGTGCATATTATTATCAGAGTTGTCTTTTTTTGTTTGCATTTTGACTGCTTGTGTTGTGGGTATTGCAAACATGATGCCTTGAATAAAGGTGTCAGTTTTTGTGCCAGTTAAAAGGGTAAAACCTATTCTTATACCATAATACCAATTGTGTCCAATACACCTTTGATTATGGTTGCCCAAGTTAAAAAGAAAGCACCCCCATCCTTAGCACAGTGCAAAGGCAAGGTAAGACTAGGTAAATCAAACAAAAGCAACCGGTTAAAATAATTCCACTTCCAGTGGGATATGTACAGGTATGTTGTAACTACTCGCAGCGACGGGTTTGAGTGGTGTCTTGACACTCACCGTGCAGTTTAAAGAACGTCTTGGGCTCAAACTGTTCCGGGTCCAACCCATCGCTTTCCTCCCAAACCTCCTGAAGCTGGTCTTTACTCCCCTGTGCACAAACACGGCCGACAAACAGTTGGGTCAACATTGATCTACGAGTAATGTTCCACACGCACCACTGAACTACCACCAATGTTCCACGAAGAGACAGAAATTGATGACAGTGGATCAGTGATTGAACATGCAGACGGACAATGGATGAGGTCATGAACGTGTGCAAAAAATACAATGAACGTTTTCTAAGATTCTTGTGTTCAATGTAATGGGTGCGAAAGTTAAGTTTTGTCACTTCTAATAAAAAAAACACACGTCGAAAACTTTAAGGTGGGGTGGTGTTGAAGGGAAGGTTTTTACAAGTCAAGCTGCAGTACTGATGTAAGGGTATGTTCACGGCGAGTTCCGTTTCATTCAGCAGATAGGAACCTGACCCAGCATGCATGATCTACCAATGCATTCTCATGTTGAAGGCTGCAACCACAGATATTTATTTCATGGCAGTATAAACAGCACAATGTTTTTTTTACGTGGCAGATTTATTGCACTGCATGTTGCTTTATTTGTATGATGATGGACCTTGTACCATCCTGACATAAAATTATAATGCAAACAATTAACTTATGACAGTCAATATTTTTTAGATGTGATGATTATTAATGCCCGAGGTGTTTTAGTTGGCCATTTGTAAATTGGCCTAAAAACAAGTTGTAGGGCCTTAACATCCATGAGGATGAATTTTGGAAAATTAAGGAAAGACATGCCATGCCTGGGCAAAGTGGCTCGCTGTCAATGACCAAGGCTGTCCAGCCATCTTTTACCCAGCAGCAATAGCTTTGGCCTGAAATGTAAATGTAAAATGAGTTCCACCCACAATGCCATGCATCAAGACCATTTGTGTAGACAGTTACCATAGGCACAACTTTCCTTCCAGAATAAAACACACTAGCATTATTACAGCTCCAGCTGCATAGTGTGGAGTGCAAACCACTCTGTGCCCGTTGAAAGAATGCAGTAATAAATGTTCCCCTATGGTATTTTAAACCATGTTACTTAAGAGCAATTGAGGCTGCATTCTGTACAGGATAAAATAGGTCTGTAATCTTTAAAATGAAAAAGTTAAAGGTATTTTCTTTCCAATGGCAGAGTGAATGGCTTGGTCTTAAACACTGGCTCCAAGTGAAATAAATACCAAGGGTGATCTCGGTTTTTTTATGTTCGGTAAATCCATATCATCAATGTGATGGTTATGGTAATCTCGACATATTGAACGGTATGTGTGGTGTGTATATGTTAATGGCCAATTTAACTGTTTAGGCTACATTAAAATGACAATCATTGGGGGGCTTTTGGCCTCAATACTCATTAAAGTAGAGCACTCCTATTTGATAGGTTCCAGATTCTATCGCTGTAATTAAATGGTTGCCAGAGAATAATAATCACACGATGTGCCATGCATACCTTTTGAAGGGGACAATAAACATTGTTTACGATGTGATCCTAATGGTGCAGATGATCACATGTCAAAGTTGATCCGACAGATAATACATTATTCAACTGTATCTCAGCTCATGCTTATTCAAATGGAAATAAAAGTCAGGCTAACTTTGTTTTTTTCAAAAATCAAGTGGTTTTTAGCACTACTCATCCCTAGACACAATATTGACTGTGAAGGAAAGTGGGCTGAGGCAGGACATGGAGCTAGAAGTGATGATGGCCAATGGCTGCAACTGGCAACGCCATGGCAGTCAAACGAGCGTACGACCACCATGGGGATGGAATGATGACATCATCTCAAGGTACAGAAGCGAGAATTATTCTAGCATGGCAATATTGTGGGGGATACATCTGGGGTGGTGATGATATAAACTGAGGCATATTAGTAAAAAAAGAATTGTTGGCGCTGCAAAACAGACATGCCTAAAATCCAAATGCTTTACTTCCATTGCTCATATCGGTGGGTCCTATGTGTAACCTTAGAGCCAGATTAACTTGTATTTGAAAATTGTAATATTATACATTATTTTATTGAATAACATTCTGGTCTTCCCAACAAAATGGACGTGGCAAACCAACATAGGTGAAACGACTGCCCAGCAACAGGGTTGCCTGTGTTGTTTTGATGAAGCGGCATTTGTAAGCACTTTGTGGTTCTTTTATGTATATGCTTTCAGAAATTGAGCAAGGCTGTGAGTATCATTTTACTATAATGTCACTTGCAACACAGTAATTTGTGTAAAGTTGAAAAATATACATTTTGCACATAAGCTCGGGCAATGTCTACTGGAACAAGCTGCACATGATCAAAAGCGATTATCAAAAACACAAATCGAACACGCTCTTCCTTTCCCTAAATTTGTTTAAACCGAACGTTATTTTAAGCAACATTGCGTCAACACCTCAAATAAAATGCAGCAAAATCAGACCGAACTTCCTATTAGCCTTGGATGAAAAATTACAGAAACAGATTGTGTTTTGTGGCAGCCTGGCAGGCGCTGCGTGCATTTCGCCACCGGGTGTCTGAAAACTGGCAGCAGAAACTGTAATTTCATCGCTGGCTTAATATTGTACAGTGTCAATTTACACGCCACGTGTACAGGAACGCACAGCTCACTGTCTGTATTATCATGGCGTGAAAGCATAAAGGAGCTCCGTGGCAGGTTTTAAATTGGGCAATAAAGCACAGAAAATGTACTACCACTGCTCAGTATCTGTACATAGAACATGTCAGTATAGAATTTTAGCTGAGTACTCAGTATTAATTACTTGTTTTATCAATCGTGTGTGCGAATGTATGATTATGTTCGAGTGCGTGGGTTGTGTGGAGGGAGACTGTGTGAGAGAAGAGAAAGAATGAGTAGCAGTGCCATAGTCAACTGCACACTGCACTGAGATCCCAATGATCCAGATTAAATTCCTCTCTATGCACGTCAACAGTGGCAAGTGGTACCTGGACCTGAATAAATACTGTATGCAGACAATACTCACATATTCTTTGGGCCTTTTGGTAAAGATAGGTTCAAAGAAAATAACAAAATAACAAAAAACTACGACGTTTCAATCGCAACACAAGCGGTCATCAGGAAGACCCAAAGAATATGAATTCCTGCAGTCACGAAAGCTTGAAGTCAATATACTCACATACTTGTCCCTCCATATATACCTATTCTATCAGTTACATACCTATTCTATCAGCCACATCGCTATTGGTTCACACATACATAAACTCAGCCTTGAACACCAGGTGAACACTTGCATGGAAAGGACACAGGGAGCACAAACCTTAGCAGCTGCTTGCCAATAACACTTTTCCCGTGAGGATATTATTCCTTTGTATGTACGTATGTTGAACATTCTTTACTTCCCGTACGTAGACAACAAACTAAACGCATAAATGAGTTCTAAAGAAATGAGTTTACAAACTAGATTCCAAAAGTGCATAGCTCCAGTAGCTTCTTAACATCGTAAGGAAGAAGTATTCCAGATGGCTGCAAAAGCGCACTTGAACATGCGTGCGATGCAACGGCTGTCTTTGTCCGATGGCTAGCCAAAATTCCTTTGTTTCATGAGGGTGTGTAGTCTATATTAACATTTTTTACTTGTTTTTAAGTCTCATCTTAATGTAGGAATTAAATTAAAGGATGTATATAACCAAGTCCATTCCGAGAATGTTTGGCCGCTTCAATTACGTATACACTACGCGTATGCTGTACGAAACGTACGTAACGTCACCGACAACACATGTACTGGGGGAACGGTCAAGTATTTCATATTTTGTCGCCAGCTCTTGTAATGAGTTCAAGTGAGAGCACACAGGTTTTTGCTGGAGCTGTTCTGTAAACAGTAGCCAGGACGCGACAGAATGTGCACTTAAGCAGGGTGTCGTACAGAAGGGAGGGCTGGTGACAGGAGGGCTCCTGCCATCCTCCTTGAAAGAGTCCTCAAGCCCAACGAAGACCTGACACACGCTTGCCCCCCACGTACCCACGAATGGCATTTTAAGTAACAAATGGCATCCGATGTAATTTAGTTAACGAAGCCACTAATATAATTTGTCTATCCTCCCTATCAACCTTAATATGCCTTAGCTAATATTAATACCACTACTGTTGGTACTGAAATTTAATCCTCTAAAAGGTAACAATGTGTGAATGTACACTTCGAACTAAATCTTTTGTGGTCATTTTTGTATTACTTTAGTAATATATTTCTTTGAGCAAGGTTGTAAGAACTTGGGGAAACATGATGGGCAAGGAATTCCAAAGTCGAGCAGCGAGAGCAAAGAAGCAGAAAGAGAAGTGCAATGACCTGCAGTGTAGGCGATTGAGCACAGTATGAATGAGGTGCATTCATACTGTCAGTCTGGTAAGAAATCAACAAGCAAAGTTCACGGGGAAAATAATCATGATAGCAGCAATAGAGAAGCAATAAGGAGGCGACTGTCCACTGGTTAGCGTGTTACTGGAGTGAATCAGCGAGTGCTGGAGCATAAATCACTCCGACGTGCAGCACGTAGGAGCAGGACACTCAATCCCAGATATGGCCAGTGATCCAACTTGTGTTTTGGTGTGAAAATTGGCCAATTTGTACATGTAGCCGAGTGGTTATGATAGTAACACAGAGAAAACACACGGCGTGGTCCATTTTAGTATTGACACATTCATGGTGTCAGAAAAAACATAAGCAATACTTTAACATCAAATGTATTCACACCTGTAAGCACAACATTTTGGTTCCATTATTGCAGTAAATTGAGTGGGGGGGAAAAAAATCTAACAATTAGGCATGACTTCAAGGCACGAGCATTTTCCTATTATCAGGGAAGCGAACACAAAAGTGCGTTTCAGAAAGGAAGAAAAAAAATGGTTAACGTGGAGTAACGGGCCAGCAACAGCAAAGCAATCTTCTGAGAACTTGCTAAAAATATCTGGTTAACAACACATAATACTGGATATTTTCTAGGCAATTACCTAGCTTTAAAATATCCCCGGGGTTACAACGGTTGAGTGCTCCGTTGCGTGACAATTTGCACACTGAATGAGAACCGCTGTTTTTTGTTCTCTTTATAATAATGATACCGGAGTGGCTGGTTGATCAACATTCAGCCTCTGTTTGTGCGACATGGATCTGAACTCTTTCGCATGGTATAGAGGAGGTTGTGGGTTCGTGGCTTCGATTCCCAATCCTGACGCCTGTATATTTGGTGTTTGCATGTTCTCCCTATGGTTGCATGGATTTTTTTCCGGGTCCTCGAGTTTATCCCTCCACATTTAGAATCATGCGTTTAGAACAGTTGGCTGCTTCAAATGTCCACGTGATAAGCGACTTCATTGAGCTATCATTTGTGGCCAGGTCGCCTCTGAAAAAGAGCTCCATAGCTCAGTGGGACTTATTTGGTAAAATAAAAAATATAGTTCATAGCTTTATCATATACAAGCGGATAGTGTCTGTCTCCACATGACATCCCTCCATATGCACTTGTCACACTGAGCGGATGTGGCATGCTTTGACATTTTTAAAGGCTGACACCTCAACAGGGAAGTTGAAGAACTCCACCAATGTCAATGTTATTTTATAATTTACCGTTTTGTGTTTAACGAGGCACAACGAGGCGATTCTAAACGTGAGCCAGAGTACATCGCAGATATGTTTAATTAAGGATAACAGTGATAAAGTAGAGACTAAATTCAACATGAAATGTGCACCATCCCATTGCTAATGTAAAACACTGCGAATAATTGATGTCAGTGATGAAAAAGTGTTTTTCATGTTTATACTTATTAACTAATCACACATATATAGCAATTACATTGCAAAGCATCTAGTTGTAGATATTGTGCAAAACATTTCCATTCTGTCTCTCCAAGTTACAGCAGGGTCCACATCATATTGGCAAATGACTCACAAAGAAAAAGCACACGGATTCACCTGCAATCATTCAAGTGTCTATTTTGATAGAGCCTATGTGCTTTGCTTTCAATAAACATGTTTTGAATGTCTTTTCAAAGAACCAGAATTAGAAAATGACTTGATATCAAGGGACAGGGAATTACAAAAATTTGTATTCATAAAAGGAATGTGGAGCCAAGATCTTTAATCTTCGAGTGAGATGCTTCATGACACACACGATGTGATGATTACTAAGGCACAGCAGGTTAGTAATGACAGAAAGTTTCACTTTCATAATGATGAGTTGAGCCATGCCAGATGCTAAAGCAAAACAAAGAATGCTGGACCCATGATTAGCGACAATAAGCCGATTGTGGAAGTGAGCACAATGTGTGGTGGCATGTCTGAACTCAGTGACGCTCTCAATGGAGGTTTAAAAAAACCCAACAGTAACATGGGTAATCCAACTGAAACCCCATGAACTGAGCAACTTCATGCGAATACTTTAGTGTGATGTATCCAATGTCTCATAAATAATATAGTTCGGCAACTTCCATTAGTAGTCTACTTTGATCTTTGTAAAGCCTTAGTGGTAACAAGTGGTGTGATGCTAGCATTGTTCTGTGATATATATAGCCCATTCTAAGTACCATATGTTCTGTAGGAAACAGATTAAGTAATGTTTTGTGCAGAGTGGGTGACCTTGTTGTTCACGATCCATACGGCCCAACAAAACGTATTTCATTATTTGTATTGAAGGACAGACTAGTTGATTGATGAATAAGGGGCTTGTATGACTCACAGATGTATAGATTAGACCGAGCTGTTGATACTTCATGATGTAACAATTTTGTCAATATGGAATGTACCAATATTAAAATGCAATGTCAGAAGCTCTAAAAGCTAAAATTACAAGATGACTATAGAAAGAAAAATCACTCCATTCAATAACAAAAGGCGTAATTCCTCACAATCTGGGTCACAATGTATATTCATACTGAAATGATGGGTGTGCTATTGGATTACTGGATGGATAGATTAATATGTACCTGGATAGACAGACGGACAGGATGGCTTGTAAAATAAATAAAAAATGGTTGAAGACAGGTGAATGGATGTAAACGTGTCTAGATGGATGGAAGGGTAGAAGGATGGACATGTCAGAATACGAATCATATTTATTTATTTATATTGGAAGAATCCGATGAGCTACAAAGCTCTCTTTTCACAGACACATGGATGAACAGCTGAAAGGATGGATAGGTGAAAGGATAGAACAATAAATGAATGGAAAGACAGATGGATGGATGTGGAGAGGTATTTGTTTTTGTTTACATTGGTGCACGGAGGAGGCCGTACCGGGTGGTTGACCTTGGGGTGGTCCTTGTGCTTCTGCTTCATGTCAAGGAAGCGCTTCTCCTCCTCCTGCCGCCGCTCTTCATCAAGCGTCTTCAGAAACTCGCGGCGCTCATGCTCTTTGAGCATCTCGTAGCGCTTGAACTCCTCATGCCGTGCCGCGTCGTAGTTTTCCAAATCCTTCGTTGCCTGGCAGGGGTCAGGGGTCGTTCATTGGGGAGCAGGTATGAATTACATGCACATTTTGTTTTGTTTACTAAAACAATACTTTCATCAACACCGTTTTTCATTAATTATTTTAATGAGCCAAATTATCTAGTCAGAGCTATCGCATCATCCAGTGTATCACAGAATGACCCGTAGAAGCAGAACTGACAGACGGTATTTTGAGATCCCTAAAACTGACATTTTTAATCCCCCCATTAGGGATACACTTTGCCACGCCACCTGATATGGAGAAATTCCCATCGCGTGACATTCGAACTGATATTTTTTTTCATTCGCAGAACTGAAATTTATCCAAAGTATGTCAAAAGCCATATGCAATTTGATATATTTTTTTGTACAGACACTTATGGCCAGGCTGAAAGCACCAAATCACTACACTTGACAACTCGGTTTAATCAAGAGTTGGTACAAATTTAACCATGAGCGTTGGGTGTCCACCCAGGGTCTCAGCAGTACCGGCTCAAAGTGATCTGACCCCAAAAGCCACCCATCCATCCATGAGCACCACTTTGGTAAGATTTTCCTTCGCTTGAAGCTGTCACTGAAAATGCACGACAGCCATATTTTTAACGGGCGCCATCCATTGTGCGTATGTGTTTAGCTCACTTCTCCCAAGCAAAAAGAACAACACTGTCTCAATAAGCAGTCGCGCCAGGTTATAAATTATATTATTGCAATGATTACTAGAGCTCCATTGTGTTGAATAGCAGCTGCACCTGTGAAGAGGCTTATTTTTGGATCAATTTCTTTAAACATACACAAGCCTGCTTAAATGACGTCAATCACCGGACAAATGAGGACAATGCCAGGGCTCTGTGGGCCCTGCTTAAGCCAAAGAGGGGAAACAGACGGAGACATAAAACTGCCACAGGTTAGAATAGTCGCTGGGTGTGACTGGAAAGATTAAAAACGTGAACTTTAAAGTTGCTGATGGACACAGCAAAGTCAAAGAGTTGGGGAAATGGCAGGTTGACTCAGGAGTCAATATTTAAATACGCACACGTTTCCTGCATTTATAGACCATTCCTTCCCTGAGACCCTAAACAAACAATGCATTAAAATGTGTGGTACATTGTAAAGGGACATAAGAATGCATACGTATGGGTATCATTGAAGATACTGTAAAAAATTTGGAGATCATCATAATAATTTGATCACGGTGCAGTAGTTTTGTGATTAGAAGTCACATTTTGTTCATTTATATTTTAGTTCCTGTGAACACAATGAGGGATTCTGGGAGATATCTGCACCATCGTTCCATGTCATCAAAGGCTTTAACAAGCTGCAACAGCTGCACAATAGCACTCATGTGTAGCCTGCATTACCAAAGACAACCATTCATAACTCTTCATGGATAAACCCAGGCAGCTGTTGACAGATGTCATCCTTATTTACTTAGTTCCATCAAGGTAGTACAATTAGGAGTGGTCGGGTAGCATGAAGTTCTCACAGTAAGCCTTAAAATCCAAAGTTTTCCAGTCCTTACCCCATTTAATACCCATATGTGTTACCTTAATGAAAAAGTACTATGGGTACATCACTGTTAAACCCAGAGAAGGGGATGTTCTGTCTGGTGCTGCGTGGATATACAACATTCAATAAATTGAATGTTTGGGCAGGTTATGGCCTGATGTTCCTTTAAATAACTCCTTTGGACAGACACTCATGCTTAACTTAACGAAAATGCTGAAAGAAATTAACTACATCTCCACGAGGGAGGTACACACAGCTCCTTTGTGGAGATGTACTGTTTGGAGAAATAATAAAATAATAGTGTTTTACACAGAGCTGCAAAGTATTTTGCTAAGTATCTTGTGTTTGAAGATGTAAGACTTAAAAACCTCAAGGTACGATGAATAGCCGCTTCATTTAAAAATATTTCAGAAGAAATTTAGAAAAGGCATTTAAAAGGCCATAAATGAGAGGATTTCGAAAGTCTAAATTAATAAGCGTAATTTTTCCTTAAAATTACTGTAAATACTAGATTTGAAGTTTTCGTGACTGCAATAATCCACTCTTTGGTTCTTTCGGTAAAGTCACGTAAGTAAAAATAAAGTTAATCAAATCACGACGTTTCGGAGGCAACACAAGCTTCCGTCATCAGGTGTAACTAGCACAGCAAAATAACTGTAAATAATAAGGCATTTTATCCTAAAAACTAAATAATTCACCATCGAAAATAATGCCAGATCATCAAAGTAACCGTACACTAACCAAACAAACATTGCTCAAGTACATCAAAAGAACATCGGTCTTTGTGAACTTAAACTAAATAACTCTGCAGTGTGAAATAAGGCGTCAACCATAAGAAACAAATAAAATGGGTCATGTTGCAATGAACCGAGTAAATGAAGCCAGATTGGCGGCGAAAAGCTAATTATTTCGACACACTAAGAAATGGAAATTTATCCCGATTTTAAAGGATCCAACAAAGCATAACTTCTGCTCAAGCATTAAAAAAACATTCTCAACCACTTCAAACCGACTAAATGAACATTGGCCAAACACCAGTGACAAGCAGACAAATACACTATTAAGAACTATTTCTTCAAGGTTTATGTACAGATGTATTATTGCACTTAAAAAATCCCCATATTAAAGCTATATTTATGTCTTAAAAAATCATGGGAATCTTTCAGTGACTGAGAGTACTTAAAAATAACTCCATAAATTATAGCATTGTAAAAGGAACATGCAATCTGCTGGATCGTTGGAAAGAAACATGGCATGGGACTATCTGATTGTATGTCTATTCGTAGAGGTCTGAGCGGGCCTCAAAGCCTCAGTAGGTACCACCTTAGATGTCCACCAACCTCAGCCGGACAGAAAACTCGATGTATTTATGGCTTTCTAGGCTTTCCTTAACATTACGCTGCCAAAAAAACATGACCACCTCCAATTCTGCCACTCTTGTACCCTTCGCACATCTCCCTGCATGTGCCCTCTGAGTTTCCAAATAAGCAGCCACGACTCTGACATAATGATGAATCACTACCCAAATTCTTACATTACAGTAGAGGAACCATGGTGTGCAATGTGCAGCCAATTTTTTTGTATTTGCTTTTGTGACCTTTCATTTTTTGAGCGTGTTTCTTTTTTCCAGACCAACTTACTGGCTTGTTAAAAGAGATCTCATTCTCTGGAAAAATACAGCTAAGTAATAACAGAAGAATCACCATTTCTCTAATTGGCAATGAAGTACAATTTAATGCATACACAATGTGAAGTTAAAGTGGCATAGAGAGTTGCATTCATTGCCCAGACATGTCCTGCAAGCCAGGAATCATTCATCTCCCTTTTGAAGTTTAAACTAGGGGCTGTGTGACACAGTCGGTAGAGTCCAGTACAGATCTCATCGACACATGCAATGCCACTCGCTGAATAAGGAGCTGAGCTCATTTAATGTGACAGCACTGGTATCTAGTTAGCATGTAACAATGCGTTTATTCATTATTTAACATCGATTCTTATATGCACAATATGTGCATTGATTTGCGTGTGTGAGAATTGATTATTTATGATATTCATAAATCATATTCTACCTCTAAATGTATGCTAATGGAGAAAACCAAGATGTGCAAATATCAAAAAATTGTGACAAATTTATAAGATTGAACCGTGATAAAAAAAGTATTCATTCTTGAATCCAAAAGCAATTCCAAATAGTGACAATCCAATGAATCCCTGAGGCAGCGCATAGATTCATTACATGCCTCGAATCCAGTACACATCTAGACTTGGCTGCAGACTGTTGGCATGTTAAAAAGGTTGAATGCCACGGTGAATGTGTGCTACGAAGTAGATAGCATGCAGTGGTGTTGGGCATACGGTCTTTATGAGCTTTTCCAGGTCCTGAGGCTCGAAGCTGTGTGGGTTGTTGTGGTCCAGATGCTCAAACTGCTTCAGCAAAGACTGGTGATCCATACGCAGGTCTACGTTGCGGAGGAAACACAGCGGTGGGTTAATGTCAGAGCAATGGCATCCAAGGGGTAAGGTCAGCTCCACAATCTATTGCCACTGCAGCAGAACGCCTGCCACTTTTCAAGGGGCATTTAGCCTCCCTGCTGTCCATTTCCAGAGGGATTGAGAGAGCATGGTTTACCGGTAGACTTTACCCCACCTCAAGCAATCAACCAATCCAGCTTATTGGCGAGACAAAGTTTGTGAATGAACAAGTCTGCCCAACATTTGAATTTACAATTTTTTTTATTTTACCAGGAAAGGCCCACTCAGCAATATAGCTTTTTTTCAGAAGCAACCTGGTCACAAATGATAGCTCAACAAAGTGGCTTATCACGTGGAAATTTATAGCAGCTAAATACTCTAAACGCATGTTTCTAAATGTGGAGGGAAAAACCGGAAGACCGGGAGAAAACTCCACGCACCCACGGGGAGAACACGCACACTCCAAAAATACAGGCGTCAGGGTCGGGATCGAACACACAACCTCCTTCTCCTGCATTCCAGGCGAGGGAGTTAACATCTCGCCACCGTGCCCTGAATGACAAATTTAATAGTAATTAACTTTCATATATCTGGTACTTTTTCTTCTTTGGTTCTTTCAGTAAAGTCACGTAGAATGAGAATGAAATAATAAATTAATAATATAAAATAATACAATAAAATTTTCACGACGTTTCGGCCACAACACAAGTGGCCTTCATCAGGTGAAGGGACGAGACTGTCTGGAGGACAGCGCTGGAGCGTCCTCCAGACAGTCTCGAGAATTTGATTGTGTTATTTTTTATTATTAATTTATTATTTTATTCTCATTCTACATGACTTTACCGAAAGAACCAAAGAAGATGAATCCTTGCAGTCACGAAAGCTTTAAATCGAAATATCTGGTACTGTTCACTTAAACATGAATACAGTCATTTAAAAATGAAGGCGAGTAGGTTCACCATTTAGAAAGTCTGCTGGAGTGGATGGTCAGAGCATATACTCACCAATTATGCAGCCACAATGATCCGAATAGAAAGTGGATGTTTTTCCTGACAGTTATAATTCATGAGTCTCATGCACAGAATTAAAGTTTTGCAATATTTGTGTCTAATTTTAGGAAAAATTGAGTGACTGAGTCCTGAATAGAGATGACTTTATTCAGTTTCTAGACCAGGGCCTTAAGAAACATGCATAAATATTAACCGCATCTACAAAGGTTCTATTATTTTTCTTGAATTCATTGATGCTTTGTAAAAAGGGCACGAGGAAGGCCAGATGTTGACAGCTGCTCATGGCTAAATATATAACCCCTTATTAGTATTATATTAAAAACATTGCTACCTACCTTCCTTGTATAAAAATGTTAACATCCACTTTTGGTCAACAACTTTCACCAAATGAGATCAAGTGCCCATTTCAAGATTTAAATTACACGCTTTTCATCACATACTTGAGCAAAATTAAGCGGATATGCATTTCAAAAACCAGTTTATAAATTTCAGAGAAGCAGGATTAACTTGCAACATAATACCTGAAAAATATTTACCTTTGATTAAAAAAAAACATTACTTCAATTTTGGAGTAAACGTGTAAATAAACCCAGAAAAATAAACTTGTACGTGTTTCCCCAAATAAAACATTTCTACGACAAAATTTCATCAGAGCAGTTATACCAATCAAATGTTTGTGCTTGCATAAAATAGCCAAATATAATTAACTTTTGAAGCCAAAAGGGTATTATTTGTTGCCACGTCAGAATTTTTATAGGTGGTGACTTTCTTTGTATGGATTTTTCCAATACTCCATGTGACTGCTGGACCAAAAGATCCGCATTTGAATTAATGCAATTCTCTCTCGATGCTTCAGCCAATGTTCACATAAGCATCACCTGGGATTCGACGATGTTTACTCAATAATGCACAATGTCTGAAAGAGCTCAAACTCTACCCAGCTACTTTGGCTGAATATTCAGACGTGGTATTTGGAGAGTGAAGATACAATGAGAGAGCCAGGCTTTAACATATGGCAGACATACCACTTCAAAAATCACAATTAAAATGTAACATTATTGTAGTACAACGTTTATAAACATAAATACTCAGGATTGGCCTGTGAATGTGATCTTGATTAAGTTTAACACCATAGCTCACTGCCTATTTTATATCCCCACGTGTGAATTATGCATATTGTCGTAAGTTAAGAGGCAGCTAACGTTTGGTTGGTTAAAAGTGTGGGTATCTCTACCACTCTCGGCTGAGAATGCAAGCGAAATCTCCCGTGAGATTTCCCATGAGATTTAGCTCAAACTGAACTATTACCTTTATATATTTACCTAATACAGCACTAGTTTACATTATTGGCACTATGTGCAGGCATTTATATGTCCAACCCATTCATAAATCCTCTGCTGGATGATGGCCTCCCCATGACATGAGAGCCATGGGGGTATTTTACCATACATGACCATTCTGGTCAGTGTGAGTTGAAGACAGGGGACACATATGTTGGCGCATAGTACAGTACAACAATGCATTTTGCTGCAATTCCCACTGTGGACAATGCAGGCCCACAGCAACTGACAACACTTCTTTTAAAGACTATGATCAAATCACCCGGAATGCAATAGATTTCAGATACTAAGCAGGGCTGAGCCTGGATGACACTTGGATGGTTATCTAAATAAATTTATGCAAACCAACACACCTGAAGATGACCGTTCGAGTTATGGTCGAAACGTCGTGAGATTTTTTATTGTTTATATATATTTTATTATTTTGTTGTTTCCCTTCAACGTGACTTTACCGAAAAAACTAAGAATATGGTTATCTACTGTTCATAAAAAACGGCCAGAGCATATAATTAATGTATATGTGCCCATCTAGTCTGAAAAAATCTAAGCCTAAAATCAAATCAAATTAACTATATGTGTACATGGGAATTCTACCAAAATAAAAAAAATGTGCTGAATCAACTGCAGTGGTTCGTAAAAGCATACAATTATGTCTGTGCAAGGAACACATCCTTCTTTTTCCATTCCTCTGTTGCAAACACAAAATGTTGGGGGGGAAAATACCTTGTAATTTTCTTTTTATATTAGATGAGAAATTGCAATATTGCATGATAAATCATTGTCTGCTAAAAGCAGGTCCTTTACTTATTATTCGGAAAATAATCATAAGAAATATAACGCTCAAATTATTCGATGTCACCGCATGACATTCATGACATGCATGACCTGGCTTCAAAAGCCACACATGCACCATTGCTTAAAGGCAAAGCAAGCAAGGACCAACACCTCCCCCAAGGCAAACAAGTCACTGTGGCCAGGCACAGGCTGTGATGGATATCCCTAACAAATGTGCGGCCAATGACAACAGCGGCTAAGGATGAAGAATACTCATTGCATTACATTTCCAAAATAACTTAATTTAGAATATCAGTAACCTCCAGAGATCACACCCACCCTTTGCTTCGTAGAAAAGTGCCTTTTTATAAATAAGCAAAACAAGTGACCGAGCAGCCCGTCTCGACGACCTTGTTGATTGAGATAACAAGGCTTTATTGTACTCATACCAAAACCTGAATTTGATGGGCTTGATGAAATAAACACATGATGTAAGTTATGCATCAATTACATGCAAGGGGATGAGTCATGTGTGCGGATCGTCGAAGTTGCCTCTTGTTCTTCTGATAAATTCTCGGTCAGCACAACTCGAATTTTTAGAGACTTGAGATAACTAGTCTGACTTAATAGACACTGGATGGCCATCCTATACTGCTGTCCGACAGTGTAGGAGTTCACTCACCCGATATCTACAGTGAGGGAAAAAAGTATTTGATCCCCTGCTGATTTTGTACGTTTGCCCACTGACAAAGAAATGTTCAGTCTATAATTTTAATGGTAGGTTTATTTGAACAGTGAGAGGCAGAATAACAATAAAAAATCCAGAAAAACGCATGTCAAAAACTGTTATAAATTGATTTGCATTTTAATGAGGGAAATAAGTATTTGACCCCCTCTCAATCAGAAAAATGTCTGGCTCCCAGGTGTCTTTTATACAGGTAACGAGCTGAGATTAGGAGCACACTCTTAAAGGGAGTGCTCCTAATCTCAGCTTGATACCTGTATAAAAGACACCTGTCCACAGAAGCAATCAATCAATCAGATTTCAAACTCTCCACCATGGCCAAGACCAAAGAGCTCTCCAAGGAAGTCATGGACAAGTTTGTCGACCTACACAAGGCTGGAATGGGCGACAAGACCATTGCCAAGCAGCTTGGTGAGAAGGTGACAACAGTTGGTGTGATTATTCGCAAATGGAAGAAACACAAAAGAACTGTCAATCTCCCTTGGGCTGGGACTCCATGCAAGATCTCACCTCGTGGAGTTGCAATGATCATGAGAACGGTGAGGAATCAGCCAAGAACTACACGGGAGGATCTTGTCAATGATCTCAAGGCAGCTGGGACCATAGTCACCAAGACAACAATTGGTAACACACTACGCCGTGAAGGACTGAAATCCTGCAGCCCCCGCAAGGTCCCCCTGCTCAAGAAAGCACATATACATGCCCGTCTGAAGTTTGCCAATGGACATCTGAATGATTCAGAGGACAACTGGGTGAAAGTGTTGTGGTCAGATGAGACCAAAATGGAGCTCTTTGGCATCAACTCAACTCACCGTGTTTGGAGGAGGAGTAATGCTGCCTATGACCCCAAGAACACCATCCCACCGTCAAACATGGAGGTGGCAACATTATGCTTTGGGGGTGTTTTTCTGCTAAGGGGACAGGACAACTTCACCGCATCAAAGGGATGATGGACGGGGCCATGTACTGTCAAATATTGGGTGAGAACCTCCTTCCCTCAGCCAGGGCATTGAAAATGGGTCGTGGATGGGTATTCCAGCATGACAATGACTCAAAACACACGGCCAAGGCAACAAAGGAGTGGATCAAGAAGAAGCACATTAAGGTCCTGGTGTGGCCTAGCCAGTCTCCAGACCTTAATCCCATAGAAAATCTGTGGAGGGAGCTGAAGGTTCGAGTTGCCAAACGTCAGCCTCGAAGGTGCAATATGAAACTAACGTTATCATGAACAATCCATGTATGTTGAGCTTCTTTCGCACCGTACGGAGCCAACTGTGCTAATCGGAGGTGCGGGGGAAGGACAATAAACTAAACACAAAAAGCAGTTCTCAAGAAATTAGTTTTCAATCCAGATTTAAAAGTGCATAGCTCCAGTGGTTTCCTAATATCGGAAGGAAGAATGTTCCAGATGATCGCAGAAGCACATCTGAAAGTGCACGATACAGTGACCATCTTTGTTCGATGGCTAGCCACAAGCCGCTGTGAGGATGATTGTAGTTCGCGTGATGGTTTATGCTCCTTGACGAAAATCAGCAAGGTATTGTAGTTCATTTGTGGAAAACATTTTCTGTGTGCCGAGTGCAACCTTGTAATGCATTCGTTCATCAACCGGAAGCCAATGCAGCTCAGAGAGCACTGGATGGACATGGTCGGATCAACAATAATGACAATAAAGCACACCTTTGCCCTGTGCCGCATCCATCTTGGCCTTGATGAGCATGCGCAGACGAGCCACCTCCTGCCTCTTGAGCTCATCAAGCTTGGAGCGCACGTGGTGGCTGACAAAGTCCAGCTCCTTGCTCAGGCGTCCGTTCTGCTCACCACACACAGCCAATATGAAAATATACCCCTTTTCCTCTGACACATCCAAGCCGAGCCAGTGTGGGTAACTTCATGGTAAGGGTGGTTTTCCACTGGCTATTTGCCGTGCCTAGCCAAAAACCAACAGTGACACGCTGGCCTCACAAGACGTCTGAATCTATCTTGGGGCCAAGTAAGGCCAGGGCAAATTACTAATTATATGTGACCTAAGTAAGTACACTGAGAGGACACAGCATCACCACCTCATCTACATACGTCTCAAAGCATTAATTTTGTGTGATATGAGTGGGATGGTTTGGTTTGTGTCGTAGAAAAACCTGGCACCTCTTGAGCCATGCTGAGCTAGCTTGGCCCTGGCTTGGTTGTAGAGTGGGAAAGAGATGACATCGTCTTATATCGTGTAGGAATAAGTACTGCTCGCGAGCGCCTTTTAAGACTGGCACAGTGCACAATATTCATTTAAGGCTGAGTTTATTGAGGTTTAGGTAACATTTTATCGTGATGTGCGTGGCCAGTAATCAATCCCAGGTCACCGAGTTCATAGTAGAGTAAGCGAACAACTCCACTCCTGTTAAGAAAAACACATGCATCCGAATGCATTCACAACCACAAATAAACATAACAAAAGCAAATATCCAACATTTAGTAACATGGAATGTTGGTACAAGCGCTGCTATCAAGCACGAGTTTTGGCCAGTATGCCACAAACAAGGGTGGTGTAGTGAATACCTAGACCATATTTGTCTTAATGATGGTTACACACAACATGAGCTACCAATTAATTATATAGTAAGTTGTGATTGCTATGATATGTTATCCCTAGTCAGGAATTGAACCATAGTGACTCAGCCATTACAAGTGTGGAACAGTGTATTCATTACTGTTTAACCACTGATTTTCATCCACCCTGCACACACTCCCTCAAAAGACAAAGCTCCTCCATATAGTCTTCATCAGACTGTTTGGGCAAGTGCTGTTAGCGAGCACCTGTGAAAGCCAGCACGGCACACGAGGAGCTGGGTGGCCAGCACCACACCTGGCTGCCTTTGTCTCCCTGTGGTGATGTTTATACTTTGCACTAGGCACTCACACACACACGTACATGCACAGACAAACCTTTGGAAAACCTTTAAAAAAATAATCTATAAGTGCAATGTACAACATTTCAGTTCACTTTAGACGTTCTGTTCAATCATTAAATGCACCAGAAAGTGTACTAAGACCATGTACACACACATGTTTATAGACTTACTAATGGTGAAATAACCCAAGCTTTGTTGCCTAATTTGCAAGAACAGGACTCAATGCATTTTACTATAAATGACAGATTTTCTGGAACCTTTAGGTTTTTTTAGGTCTAAAAAGTGTCTGCCTTTATATAAAATATATAAAAAATAAAATAGAAAAAAACATGGGAACAAAAATGCAAAACAAAATTAAACGTGAAAAAACTTTTTTGTGGAATGGAGGCTGTCAATTTTAATTCATGCGTGCCAACTATGGGGATTGCCCTTAAAGGAAACAACATCCTGGCAAATCTCCTGCAGGCATCCAACTGGGAACCCATCAAACGAGAGCGCTGTCACTTGCCACCTGCCGTGCCCCCATGAAAGGCTGGGCGCAGGCTATGAAATCGCGCTTTGTTACAGCGGCACGCAATCATAGACAGTTCCTGTATTGCGCTCATTACACCATGGTGTCAGGGTGAGCAAGGGGGGGGGGGGGGGAAGGGATGGGGTGAAACGAGAGCTTAAAATATCCTAATTGAAAAAATAAAACATATGCAGGAGGCGATGATCATGGTTTAAGGTTGTTTCCAGGAGACAAAGAGTCTATTGTGGCTACAGGAGTGTGAAATTCTACACCATGTGTATGGGCACTGTATTTACAGCTAAATAAAATGTGCATGTCGTAAACATTTTGGAAGCGAATTTGAGCACATTCTGACAAAAATTTAGAAAACACTAACGCGATAACTAAATGGTCTTCCTATTAAACATCATTCAATAGCAAATTTGTCAATGTCTTCTCGTATGGTATTAACACTAAACCAATTAAAACATTTCAAAGATACAATTTTTTTTATATAAAACAAGTCAATACAATTTAATATGAGCATGCTGGAATTTAAAGATAATACATGAAAAAATATATTCGCTATCGCATTATTCCCCATTTAAACACAACTAAAGATGAAATCTTAATTTCAATTGTTGAAAAAGTGTCAACATTCGCAAAATTGTGAAGTTTGGAACAATTGATCCAAATTGTAAAGGAAGTGTGCTGTACTAACGTCACAGCAAATATTTTCGACAAAAGAGTAAGCAAAATAATTACGGTATACTTTTAACAACTCCATTGCGCACAATTTGTGCAAGCACCTGCAGTCAATCAATGGTTACGTCAATTGAACCACAACCAAACGTCTTTGAAAAGTCAATCAAGTTCAATATGACAGGTTGCCCAGAAATAATGGGGCACGTTTGTGCAAGGCTGAGGAGCTGCTGTCGGATCAAGAACGTACAGAGATTGTTTTTGTGTCAGCATCATCGTATGCCATCACAACTGCCACCAAAACAAAAACTGCATTTCTCCATTTGGCCCTCCTTGAAATCCTTTCCCCTTCCGATGACATACACGTACATCATTGGAACTGAGTCGAACTAAACTAACTTTATCGGTACGTCTTCAAGTCAGAAGACGTTACCGAGGCTCCCACAAGGCCATGCGGGAGGGCGTGTGGCACAGTTTGGCGCCAGCTATCATAGAGTGCGGTCGTGTAGCTACAGTTCTCTGCAGTGAGTAGAATGTCTTTAAAAACAACGTCGCTACGCCTCTCTAAATGCAATTAATGCTGAACCGCTTGTGCGTTCCGAGATTCGGCGGTCAACAGGACCCACCCTGCAACTTGCAGACGTCTCGGGAACGGAAAAGGGTTAATAAACTCAAACCATTCATTTTCATTGCTCTGCCCTCTTTCTCCCTCACGAAACAATAATCATCAAAATCATCAATTCTCATTTCAACCCTAAAAGGAGATCTTCCAGTTCGAAAGTCTCCAAGGCGCTTCAGCGGCAATCCCTCTCGCTTTCAAACGTGGCCCGAGTTAAGTGCTTCACCTCGCCTTTGATCATTTGTCGCCTCACTCGGTTGACTTTCTCACCATTTGTTTTGTCCATCAATGTTTGTCCTGTCAAGCTTAGTGTCCTGCCTTCATGTTACAATGTTGTTTGTTCTCCGATGCATGTATCGCTCTTTTATTCATTTTTAAGTTATTATATACACACGCAGCTTTCACAGCTAACAGTGTTTTTTTTTTCTTAATATACGAACGTCCTCCTCTAACATGTTTTTCAGCGTTCAAATAGAGAAGTAAAAAAAATATCTGTCTAAAATGTTTGTATCTGCAAGCTCCTCGAGGCACTCACATTACCTTTCCCCAAGGTCACGGCTAATCCTCTAACCTAATGAAACCTGGAATTCCATTCTTGGCTGCCAGCAAGTCGATCATACCATCACATCATCCAAAACCATTCATTTGGCTCTGGGAGCTGGGCAAGGAATTAGATGCCCCTGTGGAGCGCTTACAAATGAGCAGGTCCCGTGTGATGTCAGCCGCGCAGAGCCTGTCTGGATGCACTCTCCTACTGCCACCAATGCTGTGCATAGGTATCGTTGGTTTCAGGCTCTTTAATACCCCCTTAGGCATGCCAGCAGATTGTCGCGAGACATTAGTCATGCCTCTCTGGCCGAAGATGACAATGAACTTTGGGTAACCTAGCATTAACACAAAGGCAGGGGGTGGGGGTACATGCTCGGGCATGGTTTGTTTGAAGAAGGCAGCGGTCATTTAAGGACCTAAATGTTAAACAATCAAACCAGGTTTTGTATTTCAATACTATTCATCTCTATTTAGGCACTGAAGTAATTAGGTTAAAAATAAGTTGTTACTCAGCAGCAATGTGTTGAAATGCCCACTTTGGATTACGTTGAATTAATTATGCCTTTTTTAGAAGGGCAAACGTAAAAAAAATATTTTATAAATGTACAATAACCTGCAAAGGCAACACTGCTCTGAAACCTAAAACTGATTTTTGGCAGCATGACATTAATAACTTTGGTAACTTTCCTCGACCTTCTCTGCTCCAATATAATTCAACAGACGCACGCACTATAATGACAACAAACTTACTAATTGCTTAGTAAGTTTGAGATAAACACTGTTAGCGAGCACCTATTATTTACGACAACTCATACGGTGGCAATGGCCCAAGGTTGGCCACCATCGCGTACAAATAACGTGTCGCTATATGTTAAGTCAAAAGGTGCAAAGGGGAATATAATTATAATAATTACAACATTTAATTTGAGGTTAATCAGTCTCTAAGAAACTACAGCTGAAGTACAATAAAACGAATATCTTCAATGCATCTTAATTAAGATACCCATACTGAACAATCGACATCATGAACTCACAAAATAATAACCTACTTTTATGAGTCATGAAAGTGCCATCTTAAATGTATAGACAAGACAATGAGTGTGCTGATGTTAGAGATGACAATGCTAGTATGTACCGGTACCTGTGTGGACCAGTACCAGCAACCCGCACGTCCTTGGGACACGACTGTCCGTCCACCCATCCCTCCCTCCCTCCACGATGGTCCTCCCGCACCCCCCATTGTCCCTACCTCCCCATCCCTCTCGCATGTGACAACCCCCAGGGTGCCCCCTACCCGCATATTCCCCCACACCCCCACCGTCTTTGCGCTGGGCGGCGTATGACCTCCAGCCAGTCAGAACGTGTGCTGGCTGGCATGAGGTCAGCCAGGCAATCAGCCAGCAAAACTTTTTTTTCTAACACTATGATGAATGTATAATTCATTTCAAAAGACCATTCTCAAACCTTTTCAAGTACTGCTAAAAAAAACATAGTTTATGCCAATCTCGACAACAATTTTTACGTAAGAAAATATATCAACGAACTTGTAT